ACTAACACCTGTTTGTTTTTTATTTTTTATTTTTAATAAATTTTTATATTTTGTCTTTAGTCTTTAATAGAAATTACATTCAAAATTCTTATAAATATTTCATTCTTATTTTTGTTCATTGTCTGAATTGATATTCTTAAAATGTTTTAAGTAACTATATTAGTGGTTAAGATAAATAATTATTAGAATAATTAAATTGAATAATGAAAATTATCAAATTTAATGGATTGATTTACCCCAAATTTGCAACTTCTAGAAAAATTTAAAATAGATTAAGAGTAAGTTTATTCACTCGGCCGCTCTTAAAAATTGTTAAAATAGATAAGATATGATGTGACATATTAAATTTATTTATTTTTTTAAGAGAACAAGCAATCTATAAGTTACTTTATGTCCTTATAAAATCATGATTCCATTTAAAACTTATAAAAAAGAAAGACAAAATATCAATAATTATCATTCAAATTTCAAATTCATGGAACTCACTCATCAAAGAAGAATCTTAGCTGTCACATTCAATATTAGTCAGAAGCATGTCAAAATAAATCTGTGCAAGTCATTAGTCTGCCTGGTTTAGATGCACAAAGACTGGAAGAAATTTCACCTACAATACAACTATCATAAATAGGCAGACGTACAATCCTAATGTTCCTAACCTCACGGCAAAGGTAATGTGTCATTAGAGTTTATGATACACTTGAACTTCAAAACACTTCCATTTGCTTACATTTTGCAACGTCAGATACAGAATTCAGTATGTACTAGTTGCAGATACCCGTAAAATCTGCATTCTTGATTATCCAAGGATGCTCCATTAGCTTCTGAAGAGAGAGCCTTCGTGAGGAGTCTTTCACCAGAAGCTGCATTAATTTATAGATTGCTGTCAGAAACACAACTAAATTGTTCCCTGAAAGAATTTACCTTGACCAATATATGAATACTGGGATGTTAACTTACCCGGCTAATCAGACTTTTGGCATCTAAAGAAACAGAAGGGTTGGAAGGGAAGCTTAGGTCAACCTTCATTATCCTACACAAATCTAAATACATTACATACACAATGAAAGAGAAATATCTACTTTAAATAAAAATATAGCCCACGAACTTCTGTACCGTGTGAAGGTATCAGCTTGACTTTCAGCTTCAAATGGAGGAGCACCGTAGAGGAACTCGTAACAAAGGATACCAAGAGTCCAGTTATCAACTGCATAATCATGAGCTTTATTTTCAACCATTTCTGGTGCTAAATAATCCAATGTCCCACACATGGTATGTCTTTTGCTTTTGGACTGAACAGACCAACCAAAGTCTCCAATTTTAAGACGACCCTGCAATCAAGTCACTATTAGTTCTACATACAATTGCCCTTGAACCTCAAATTTAATCAATCGACTCCACCTATTTATCCATTTTTAAAGGTGAAAATTGTACTAATATAAGATTTAATCCTACTCTCCCAATTTTTTTACGTCCCAACGGTAATAGAGTTAAGTCTTGGTATCATATTAAAAATAGTAAAACACTTACTCTCTACAAAATAGCTAGATAATGTAAAGAATTATAATCACCTACATATTATAATATCATGCAGAAGTGGAATTCATCCCTGAATACTATATCTATAATAACAATGTTTTCAGTCTCAAAGTTTCTTTTGTTTAGACTTTCTCTTTTGGACGAGGAATCGGGTATTGGCGAATTGAAGTCAATATTTATGAGTATAACGGCCAAAAAAAAACATTCGAACACCTATACTCAAACTTTAGGCACGAGAATTCCAAATATTACCATAGCTGAACACTAGTGTAGAAAAACATACATTGTTAGCAAAAGAAGGATATTTTAACATACCTCGTGATCAAGCAGCAAATTTTCAGGCTTGATATCCCTATGAATAACATGCTTCTCGTGACAATAAGCCAACGCCTTTGTGAGGCTCAAAATATACTAAAATTATCAAAATAAAAGAAAAAGTTAAGAGCCAACATAATAAGAAAACTTACCTCAAAATAAAGAAGAAAAAAAGATAAAAGCACAATATTCTATTTAGCCTTGTTCATAATATAATGTAGTGTCCTTTTTTTTTAAAACAAAAAAATTAAGACAATTTTTCAGTACTTCTGAAAAAATTATCATTTGCTCGAGACAATCCCTAAAATATTTTATGTTCTTGCTTTAATTCAAAAAATACATAAATATAATTAATTTTTATACATATCTTCTAATTTAAATCATATTGAAAAAAGAATAAAAACAAACGGCTTCATAATCACTAATTATGAGACTTTTTACAAAGTTTACACAAGTAACTTCTCTATAAATCAAAATATTCCACAGCAGGCCATTACAACTAGTTCACCTGCTGCAGTCGCCATAAACAACTCATAATTTAAAAAATTCTCAAAGAGTATTCCTGTTTTGCATTCTATTCAACTATTCAGAAATAAAAATTAAATTTCTAAAAAGAAAAAACTTCAGCTGCTTTCTTCTAAGACTCGTGTTTCTCAAAAATAAAAACCCAATAATCTGAAGAGATGCCGAGAACCCAATGGAAAACGTTTATCATCCTTCCAACTAGAAAGATGAAAGCTTCCACCAATTGGACAAACATCTCTACAAACACTTTTAGGATAAGAGAATAAGAAGGTAAAATGAATTGAATTTCTCTCCTATATTAAAAATCAACTTATAAACTTGTAAAACTCTTAATTTCTTCAAAACGAAAGTACACAAATTAATTTTAGTGTAATGATACAGAAGCTGGAAGGAAAAAGCAACATCCCTCACGAATTATTAAAAGTCTTCAAAACTTTGCATACACTTGAGAAAAAAGATTACCGTGGCAGCTTGCTTCTCAGTAAAATGACCCTTTTTTCTCATCTCTTTGTAAAGCTCACCCTTATGAGCATACTCGAGAATTAAGAAAACACGGTCAGCATCATGAAACCAACCATAAAGACGCAGGATGTTAGGGTGCCGAAGACTGGTCTGTATCTCCATCTCTCTCCTCAGTTGGTGATGAATTCTGTACTTATCAATTTGTTCCTTAAATATAACCTTCAACGCCACAACATATTTGCTCTGGAAACAAATTCAAATTAAATTAAATTCAAAATTCAGCTCTATTGGCTACTCAGAGAGCAAAATTCTAGACTTCTTAAGATGATTGCTTAAGTGAAAATTCTAATTTTTCAACGAGTTGAATGAATCATAAAGAAATATAAAGGGAAATGGGAATAAAAAGAGAGTTAGGAACCTTCACTTCTCTGGCGACATAAACCCTGCCAAATTTGCCCCTGCCGAGAGGTTTACCGATCTCGAAGTCTAGGAGGGACCAATTTCGCTTTGAATTTTCTTCTTCCGCTGGGTTTTGGGAAGCCATCTTTGGGGCAAAATGCTAAGCTCGGTTTCTCTCGGAATTTGAATTCGTTTCAACGCGCGCGTGTATGAATGGCCTCTTGCGTTACAACACAAGGACACAAAACGACAGATGCAGCTCCGTCGTTCAAAGGAACAAGGAATATGGCTTTAGGTGTATAATGGTTGGGATAATTATTATCTAACCTAATTAAAAAAGTTGGGTTAATTAGATTAGACTTATTATATTTTTTATTAGACTTAACCTAATTCAGTCTATTTTTAACCCGTTTATATTAGATTATTTTATTTTTTTAAATAATTTGTTATTAAATTTGTAATTTTAAAATAATTTTTTATATATTTTTTTAGAAAATAGAATATATTTATTCATATTTGAATAATTTAATATTTAAAAATATATTCAATTAATAAAATAATAAAACAAATTAAATAGTAATTATATAAATATTATTATCATTAATGTTAATATTTTTTATTTTCAATTAATAAAATAATAAAACAAATTAAATAGTAATTATATAAATATTATTATCATTAATGTTAATATTTTTTAATAGTTTTAGTTGAATTAGTTCTTAAATTGAAAATATAAAAATTATATTCAACGACACATAAAATTGAATAATTGGACCCAATTATATATAATAATTCAACATGTTTGAGTTAGATCAAGTGATTGGATCGTCCACACCATAAATAATATTGAATAACTTAAGGTCTACTCTCTTTTTTTTTTTCTTTTATTACATTACACTTCAGACACTTATTTTTAAGTAGTTGATCTCAAAATTGTAAGAACACTAAACCGTAAACGGAACAGCGTTTTGATAGTCTTAGAATTCAAAACTTGTGTCATTATTCATATTTTATTTATTCTCCTCTTAATAAAACACACCAAGCATGGTTAGGTTCACCATAAAGTCATGTTAATAATTAACATACCAAATTTATGGATTGAATAATAGAACTCATTAGTGAACTGAAAGACATCTAAGTTCGAACGAAATTGTTGAGTTCTAGCCATTTAAATGAAGTCATTTTAGGTGGATCAAAACTTTTCTAATAGAAGGTACGTAAGCTTTCGTTCCTCAGTCTATAATTTTTTCATTACAAGACACTTGCTTTGTGACTAAGATCTCACACCTATTGGTTCCTACAGATCTCCTGCACAAAAACAGAACGACTGCAACACACTACATTTTTGTCACGCTCTCTCTTGTTTTCCTTTTAAATTTATTATTCAACCAGTATTAAAGAATCAAGTTAAATTCGTAAAACTCTGTAAATAATCCAGAATAACGCAATTTTATGAACAAAATCAGCATTTCTCTTTGATTATTTGCCATGTTCGTGACTCCTACTACAATGTAAAGGTCACAGAGCCTCCATTGAAGACCTTTTCAAGGTTCATTCAAATTAAATCAAATATGGAAGTACTATAATTTCAAGGCTTCACGAAATTAAGGGTGAAGCCTAAGCCAACGAATCCATTGACATAAGTAGCATTCCTAGTACAACATATATCTAAAAGGAAGTCTGTTTCCTCCAGTTTAAGGAATATCCAAATATATGTACAGAGTGATGATATACGTTAAACTAAAGTAGAATGAATAAATTGTTTATTTATCCTTCGTTTCTTCAGGCAAAGCAGAAGCTTTGCAGATAGGACATACTTTCTTCATAGACAACCACTTTCTAATGCAACTCACATGGTAATCATGCCCACAAGCTTTCAGCGTCCCAACATCGTCCATGTTCTTGTATTCTTCCTGAAATTTTCAACAAGAATCAGTAAACACCGGATTAAGGCCATCCAAATTTCAAAAGGGGAAATCAACCTTAGTGCCAATGTTATATTATTTTATTCTGAATGGTAGAAGGAAACATACCAGACAGATAGCACAAGTTTCGTCTTCTTGACTTTGCTCGGATGAACAGTATATTGTTTCTGTCAAAAACTTGGAAATCAAATCTTCAGACAATCCTGTGCTCACATGGCCTATTCTCTCTCCGAGTGCAAGTAGTTCCTGGTCGACCCAAACATCCAATAATTAGCAATTTTTTATAGTATATGATGTTAACTATAACACACGTCAAACAACAATAACTACCTCATAACTCATGTTGTCTATGTCCATCCTCATGTCTCTATGCTGATCAAGCATATTCCTAGAACCATACAGTGAAGTGCGATCAACAATCATGAAACCCTGGAAGAACAATAAAACCAAACTTAAGTCAGACACCCCGATGAAAGAACAAATATGAGTCTCCCATTGGAACTAAAGCCCTTAAACTACTGTCTTGCTAATGTCAAGTTAATAACTAGTCCACTTCACGAAGGATTTCTTGGAACCATGCTGATAAAGGTTGTTAGCTAACCACATATCTCAAACCAAGGTTATATAGCTAAAATGGATCCTGGGTAAAAAACATGAACATGACACTAGTGTTTCCAATCATTACTCACAAGAGCAAAGCTCTTGAGAGAAGATACTTATAGATACCTCAAAGTTAAATTGATCATTGAGACCAACCTCATCAGCCAATGCTCGATATCTATCACTATGTATTCTTGACCTTCCATTTCTATCATTGCTGTGCCAGCCAACGGTGGTCAAAGGCCTTGGATGTCTAGAAGAGTAGCTTTCAGCCACCATATGCAATCCATCATCAGAAGGTGCCACACGACCCAAGTGCAAGCTTGAAGAAGCCCTAAAAGTTGGAGTGGATCTTTGAGAGTAGTTACTGCGAACTCCTCTTGCAGGTTGAATCAGACTATTATTATGAAAACTTTGTGGAGCAGTAGGATTTCTGCTAGTTCCAAACTCATTATGAAAACCTCCAACATCTACAGGAGGATTACTAGATCCACTTCCAATAAGGAAATGACTCGCCTCATGATTAAAAGCATTAGCATCTGCATTTTAATAAAAAAGAAGGTCACTTCAGATATAAAGTACAAGAGAATAGAATGTCTGTTGACTAAATTACAAACTAACCTAATGATGGCACCCTTCCATGAGCAGGACAAACACTCATTTGGCTCCAATCCCTTGTCATAGTTCCAGAAGTTTGAGTTGAAAGATCAACCATGCTAGATTGGTCCATTTGTTGACCAGTAGAGAATGAGTTGTGTGAATGAGTATTTGATAAATGGGTCCTAGCCAGGTTGGATTCTAAATCAAGTGCAGAACGGCTCCTCACATTCCTTAAAGAACTCTCACCACGTATTGAAAGGCCTCTACCTCTAAATGTGGGTGTCATATTCACATGATCGGGTGTCATATTAACATGATCCCAAGGCATATAATCCATATTGGGTTTCTCAGGCCGCAATTCTGAAGATGTAGGACGATCAGCTGCATTTGCACTAGCAGCATTAAAATATCTGCTTGTACTTCCTCTCTCACAGACTGAAGGAACTCCAGGGCTCTTCCGCTTGTGAGGCCCTCGCCCATTTCCCATTGTGAGATCTATAAAACCCCCATCAGCAACGTTAAATGCTTGTCTGTCATAATTGGAACTAGAAGGCTGGTGTACATAATTTTCAGACACCGCATAAAACATTCCAGCATTTGATGAATGCAGAAAATGGTCATGAGAAGTGCCTGATACATCTGATTGATGAGGGGGTACTTCAGTGTTGAGAGTTGTGGAGGCATATCCATTTGACCTTGGTGCAGTGTTCCAATGAGATGGAAAAGAAATGCTATCTATGGACATATTTTCCAAAGGATAAATATAAGAACCATTGTCTGAAGTGGGAGTCCTACCTGCAATAGAGATCCAAATATAATCGATATGACTATTGACACTGGCCTAGAAATGGTTGCCAAAAAAAGAAGGCTTATGAACCAAAATAAAAACAGCAAATAAGCCATTTTAAGTAACACTACCAAGGTTAACATATTGTTGATCAGTATGCATATGACTCCAGTTCTGGTCAGGTTCACCCTCAAACATTGGAGATGAGCTATATAAATGTCTATGGCCCATGACTTGCTAGCAATATCAGGAGTCAAAAAAATAGACAGTGTAGTTAAGTTAGACCAGCAAATTACTCAACCTGCAAGATAAAAGAGTATTTGAAAAATTCAGTAACAAAAACAACACCAATTCAAAGCTACAACATATATACAAGACAAAATTCATCTACGACAGCAGCATGTGAAATTAACACAAAATAAATAATCAGTTGGATTTATCTACTTAATTCTTTTTCAAACACACTAACTTGAATCTGGAGAGTTTTACCATACATACATAATATTTAATAAGATCCAGGTAAAACACTTGTTTGAAAGAAACTCGGAGTGTATTCTAAAGAGTTTTATTGGATGCTCAATTCAATTTAAACACTTATAGTGGCATCCCGCATGACATGCAGAACTTCAACATGTTGGCAATATGTAGAGTCAAGACTCAAGAATGAACCATTTAGTGGTTAGTTGGATTTATTTGCAAGGGAGAAGTGAGAAAGAAGACAACAGACATGTATACACAAACATATGTGAAATGAACTAGAGTCAGAAAGTCACAAGTCCACGATGTAACCTTCTTTCTGAAAAAAGGTAATTACTATCAGAATCATAAATTGAAAAAGTAGCACGGGGTTGATACCAAGGGATAATAGTCTTGCCATGCAAGGGAGCATATAATCTATAAAACACAATTTAAAATCTAGTATAAATACAGTTTTACTAGTATTAGATAAAAAGTAGTCCTACAATTAAATCTAGCCTGACCTTCCTCTTCCACTTACAGCACATACAAGCACCACTGGCACTTCCACATGTCTAGTCAATAGAAAAATTCCTTAGATTATCGCTATATTATTCATCAGTTTACATCATTTGCCATTCAATCCTTTACAGGGCAAAAGGATCTAGGCCTACAGAAGACCACTTAGCTTGAAACTTCAACTCCAGCTGCCAAGAATACCAAAGAAAATATCGAAGGGGTAAATAAGAAGTAACTAACTGATATAGGAGCTCAATGGATATCAAGATGATGTGTTTAATCAGCCAAGAGGACAATACTCACAGCATGAACTATACTATCTATGTTAGTGTTCCAATTAACCACCGAAATTGCATGATAGATGAAGGCTACAGCCCTGTGAATTAGAACGCCATCAACAGGCATGCACAAAAAGAGAAGCATGACTACCAGCCACACAATTTGGCCAATTGAGGAGAATCGCCACTGGCAATTATTTCTGAAGGAGAGGAGAAATATAAGCTTCTGATCATCAAGCCTTGGGAATTCACCATAAATTGACAGAAACTAGCCTGTAAATTACTAAACAGTTGCCACTCATACTCCTAAACCATAACAAACACCACGAGCCCCAATTTCCAATCACTTGAAGCCAAATTCATGAGATGCCTCTCTTCATTGAGACAATAAAATATAGATGAGGGAAAAAGGACATAGGTGACATTTAAATTAGACGGATAATGGTTCCTCACTCTAGCTTATCATGCGTAACAGCATATGACTAAAACGAGAAGCTATTGGAAATGGGATGACTCAAGTAACAGACTTACCTGGCAAGGCTTACAAACGATCACTCAGCAAATGTTAGCATTTCTATTTTCTTCCTGCACTAGAAAAAAGATAATCAACTATGTGCACAACCAGACACAAATGGGAAAGACTCCTACTTTTGCCTTCTAATAAGTATCATTAGGCAAGACAAGATCAACTAAACAAAAATAATTTTTGTAAATACAGTATATAAGCTACAAAGCAGGTTGTTTAAACTACAATGACAAGTTGTTTTTGAAGGGGGAAAATGGAATAACAAGAAGGAAAAAGGTTTAATAAAAACAATGTATATCTCACAAAAATTAAAAGATGAATGCATAGGCCAAATGTAAACAATTTCACCTTGATTATCTTAAAAAATAAAAAAAAAATAAGTCTGGGGGGGAAAATAAATATTACAACTAGACTGCAGTTTTTACTACAAGGAAATGGAGCATTTTTCATATGTCAAAAATAGTTTAAGAACCAGCACCATCTACTTCCATAACCAATATCTAGTAATCAATCACAAAATTGTAACATAATTATTGAGTATAGAAGAGCAGAAAGACCCTTCCTGAATATAATGTATAAATGGTTGCAACCAGGCAAGCACAATAGTCAAGAAAATAGAAGTCCCGTTATCCCAGCTGTAACACTTTAAAGCCAAAATAAAAGGAATGAGGCAGGCATATTATTAGTGAATTAAATTTGGTTCATTGATTTCACTTTAGAGAGGAAAGAAACGAATTAAAAATATTTAAGAATGATAAAAACATTATTTAACTATACGAAATCAAATCAGAACTGTACAAAGATCATGCTGAACTTTTTCAAAAATGTTATGAAGCAAATTTTTAACAAACTAGGTAAATAACATAATAGAGTACCATAACGGGGTCAAAAACACAACAATCTACTAGAAGTGGTATTGGCAATGATAAAACTGAAACATAAAATTAAAAATATATTAAATAATTTGACCCAGTAATTATCAGAAAAAAAAATACAGAATGACTTGGTTTCAATTACCAGTAAACATTAAGCTTCGGGGTTTAGTTTCAGATTTCATTATCATCACAATAGTAAATAATACCCATACAAAAATATAAATGAATATCAAGACAGACAATTGGCCGAATATAACAGCGATGCTTTGGGCTTTTGAAACTTAGGTCTCCAGTGTAAAATTAAATCTAACTGTGAATAATATTGCTTTTTTTACCAAATATATTTCTGAACCTGTTCATAGTTGAAGGTATAATCATGTAGCTTATTGACTTTGCATTAAATTGGAATAAGAAAATTAAAATAAAAAAACTTTAAACTCTAAGCAATGACTTTTCCATATAAAAAATTGTCTTTTACCAGAATACCAGCAATCAAAGCACATCCCAACATCCAATTGTAACAAACTCTCTTCACACACCAGAGAGATAAGAGAATTGTGTATAAAAAGTTAATAAGGCCATCCTTAACGAGGTCCATTGTCCCCAATAAGGGATGACAATTCAAAACTAGGAGAAATAAGTTCAAACTAAGAAGAATTTTTCCAGCCCTCAAACTAGGTAATGCAAAGGGCAGAAAGTCCTGCATTGTGGCTATGCTATCAACAGCACTCTTGACACTAGTTTCCATCCATCCTCAACATTTAGGAACATGAGTGAAGATAACCAACTTGTGGAGATCAAACAGCTTCTCCTTCAGTAAACCGAAGGTTGAATCCAAATAAAGCATCATCCAGCACTACACCAATTCCAACAATGAGTAGGTGTGCTATTGGAGAAATAAACATACGGCAGAATAATAACGAGAATCACCAGCATAAAAAGCAGTTAATATCTATTCAGGGAAAATGAATAGTAGTCTCCATCAATTATATGCGCTATTGGTCCAACATTGAAGTCTATATTGTGCATGCCAATGTGCAGTGAAATCTTTATGAATACTGTCACAGCAATGCTCAACATACAGCGCCCAAGTAACACTACCACAACAAGAAGCTTAATGTCAAATTCAAAACTAAGAAAACAATAAGAATTTGACTAAGGCATCTAGAAGTGATTGGGGCAAAGAGTGTCAAGGTTTGCAAACATCTATCTCAGCACCCGAGACCCCCTTATAGAACTATAACAATAAAATATGGCAAGTGCAACATCACTCCCTAGATTGCCTGTCACACTACAAACCATCATCTTGCCTCACCGAACAGTGGAATGTGACAGAGCTATTGCCACAACATCCTCAGCGGTCATTTCACACCAAAAATTCACCCAGACCCAGAAGATGGACGAGCTTGATCTAAAGGCCACATTCAATTAACAGAGGATCTTTGGTGCAACATTCTTTCTGCATCCTATAAAAGTTGGCATATAACGATCCAAAACGGCAGCATTATGCTAATAAATCCAGACACAAGGGTTGGTCATGCCAAAGTCATCATTTCTACAATCATCCCTTTAACCCAAGACTCAAAAATCCCTGCTACATCATATGTGATTCAGCAAACGTAATTGAGAAACCAATGAAGAAATTCATTCACTTCCATAACCTGTACAGTACAAATGCCAAGGCAAACAGAACCAGTTCTCACCAATAATAATAATAATAATAATATTAATAATAATAAATAATAAGAATAATAAATAACGATAATGATAATAATAATAATAACAGTAATACATCACTATAATATGGACCCAGGGTATAAGTGATCATATACCAAAAACTGCTTGAAAAGATCCGTGAAGGGTAAATTGCTAAAGAAAACTGGGGAACAGAGACAACGAAAGAGAATTTCCAACGCAAGCACATCCCACCATCACATGCATATGTAAGCATGTATAATACACCAGAAGCACCAGAAACCTGCATAATAAAAAGCCATCTAAACCTAATAGATTCTAAGAATATCTAAACAAAACCAGGACCAACAATAGATGCTAGAGAAGCCAATATTCAAAACCATAATGTGTGATAAGTAATTAGTATTCAAGATTTAACTTCAAAGCCCAATAATATACCACATACAATGACAAAAGGGTGAGCCTAGGCACAACTGTAAGGTTGCTGCCTAGTGACTTGATAGGTTCAACTCCTGGGGACAACTTTTTCGCTTGTTCAGGTGAAACAGTGTACATACTACCGTCCCCCAAACCCTTTTAGCATACATAAAGACAACAGAAGTTATAAAAAGTTGTGAACACTGATCAGGAAAAGATCTATCCCATCGTTTACAAAGTCAGGAAAGAGATCTGAACAAGCTGTTATGATAAATAGTATTTACTTAAAAACTTTGTATATTCTCAAATATTAACAATAAGAAGTTTGACAGTAATTCATGTTTTATCACTTCAGCTACAAAAAATATACCAAGCAAGAAAGCACTCTGTGATGCCAATCCATCAAGCATAAAAATAAATAAACGCGTTATATATTAAATATAATTGTCATATACTTCAAATAACAGAATGTACTTCCCAGGAAAATATACAAAGATAACATCATGCTATCCATCACCACAGAACAAAAGGGTTGATGAATGACAAACAAAATTTCATAAATCTTAAGACCTTATAAGGAATCCCAATTCACATGATTTCTAAAACCAAGGACAATAGCGAAGTACTCCACAAAGAAAGGGGATAAGGATGTAAAGAATCAAAACACATTCGACCGATGTATAGATTTTCATTTCCTCTGTTTTAACAATTACTTCTTTTAAAAAATGCATGAGGCTGAGCTAACACAAACGGCGTGATTCGATGGTGACTTTGCCGCAACTACAGAACAAGAGAACACACACGAACAAACAGCATAATTTCCGAGGGGAAATTCAAAATCCCGCACCAAAAAACAATCTGTGAACCAGAGAGTTGAGGTAAACAAATAAAAAGCATAAGAAACGGACAATATTCTCTTCTCTCAAAAGAAAGGGAAAAATATCACACACGCGCCTTGGAGAGGGCGATAACACGTTGGAAATAACCAACGAGAAGATCCGAAGAGAGGAAACACGAACCGATCAAGCAAAGGATTGTGGCTTTGCGGAGCTCAAAGAAATCAACGCATAAACAGTAGGATGATCGTGATCATGCATGTAAAAATTGGAAGCACATGTGTTGAGAAAACATAAGGTGGAATCGGGAGGATAAACGTGCCTTGGAAATCAGTTACGGTGGTGTTGTGACGGTGGAGCTCCGATCTTTGGAACAGTAAAGAGAAAGATAGAAGAGAGAGGAGAAAGAAGGAGAAGAAGATGTGAAATTGTCGTGAGAAGGAGACAATGAAATAAAGCGGTTGTACGCAGAAATAAGAAACAAGAGGATGAGAAATTCGCTGCATTGCCCAATCTTACCGGTTACCTATACCATCAGTATTTACTCCTTCCATTAATTATTACTAAACACATCAACAACCTTTTTTTTATTATTATTTAGCTTTTTACTCTATATATTTTGTATTTTTTATTGAAAAATCTTCTTACACATGGTGAAAAATCAATCTCTAGCAATATTATTAAAAAAAATCATAAATTACATATCAAACATGCTATTTAATAATTTTAATTTGTTTGTCAGCTAAAAAATCTATTAAAATTATAAATTTAATATGATTAGAATAATATTAAATTTACTATTTTCAAAATATAAATCCCTCTTGTTATTTATTTATTAAACATTAGAAAAATAATTATTTTTATTAATGTATGTGATTATGTGAAAAAAGCAAAGTAGTATTAAAGAGAAGAGAGAGTATTAAATGGGCAAAAAGCATTAATGAAAAGTTGAAAATGATTTTATAATTGCAATTAATGTATGCCCCTTTTTCTATGGATTGTTTTGGAATGGGTGCAGCTTTACCTCTTTAGTGCTTCATTTGTTACTGTTGAATCAAAATGCCATTTGTTACTGCCAAAACATTTTGGGCTTTGGGGAAGCGTGTTGACTGGAATCAGCAAGTTTTTGAGTGACAGAAGCAAGTGGCATGGGTGGGATTAACTCCCTTATTAATTATCAAACGTAACACGTGACTTGACCCAAGGTGTTTTTCGAATATATTTCTTAAATTGCTATTTCTAAAACACATAAATTGTACTAGTACTTTTACCCTTTTTAAGGGTGCAAAATTTAACTTTATGGTTCCAGAATAGAATATGCAACAAAATCTTAATAGCATCATATCTTGTTTTCAGGTTATTGATTTTTATCAAATTTTTTAAGAAGTGGAAATTAATTTCAAATGATGAATTCGTAATATAGCAACATGTATTTTTCAAACTAAAACTTACAACATGTATGATGATGGGATTAGCAATCTTCTTTGACAACTAGAATAATCCCTAAATGTCATTTGCTTCAAGGTTCGATTCCTTTGAATAGAATATAAACTTTGAATAAAAAAAAAATACTCCATTTTCATTTGTATTTTGTACATCGAATCATAACATTGCATGCTGGAATTTAATAACACGAGATTAATAATTTACATTTTTTTTAGGAATATATTGGAAGATTTGAAAAATTTAAATCTCCTTTAACATTGTCAAAGGGTATCATTTATATTATTGAATTTCAAAAACGATATTCAATATTTATTTGGTATATTGAATAAATATATCATGTTTTTAAATTCTTCGCAGATAAATTAATGATAAAATCATGTTTATTTATATAAAAAAATAGTTTACGAGATGGAAGTTGTGGAATTTGTAAATAACGATAAAAAATAATAATTTCGATGTGAATATAAAGAGAAGTACATTTATAAAGATTTTTACATTTTATCTTTATATATTTATATTCTTTTATATTGTTATTAATTTTTATTTTTTTATTATATCGACTTAATTGTTTTTCAAATAAACATTTCTCTTCTTATTTATATTTCATCATTTTAAAATTCACTTTTCTTCTGATTAATACATATTAAACTTTTTATCTCATAAATTTATTCAAATCAAATATTTTCATATCGATATCAATGATGTTTTGTTACATTTATAGTGACGTATGAAGTAAAAAATAAATTAAACTTATCATGAGAAAAAATAAATTATATTGAACTCGCTTGAAACTAAAAACATAATTGTCATAGATTGTGTTTATTATATTATTTTAAACAAAGGATATCGTTATAAAAAAATATTATAATAAGGGTTTATTTTAAACATTTAACATTTATTATCAAACCATTTTTAATTACTTAAACATAATTAACTCTTCAAAATTATAGATATACTTTAAATCTGATACTTCTCCGTTAAAGTTCATTATTATTATTTAATTTTGTAACTAATTTCTTAATTATTAATTACCAAGATTGTAAAATGTTCATATTATATATAAGGCATTAATATAAATAAAAAAATATATTCTTCATATTTTTTTTAATATACCATAATGCCATATAACATTAAAGTATATCGACCAACAAAAAAAGTTTATCTGCTCCAGGTACGATAATACCTTTAAATTTTTTCAAATATATTGTCGAATTAAGGTTTACAAATATTCCGAACACATCTTTATCATAAACTACACAAATTTTAGTGGTGTTTATTAAATAAAAAAGAAAAAGTTTATAATTTTAATAAATATATTATCAGTAATAAAGAGTAGATGATGAAAAGTGCATTAAGAAGGGTCACTATTATTTATTATTTTTAAGGATTATTTCATTTATATTTAATAAATGGATAATAAATAAAGGAGAGTGGGTTACCCTCGACCACTCCGCAGGTCCATCTTCGGGGTCACAAAGAACAAATCAGAGTCTGACATGCATGTCTTGTCGCGGTTTCAAATTTAACCTAGCAAAGTGAACACTTTTTTCTTATTCTTTTCCTTATATTCTTTTGCCCCTTCCTTTTTAGTTAATTAATGAAGTAATTATCATGACGAATAGGAAGAAGAAAAGGCTGAAACTTGAGTTGAAGATAGGGATAAAAGAAAAACTCCTTGAATGGTGAACAATATACAATGCACTGAGAGGAAAAGTGAGAGTGGCCAACCTCAAGTGTGGACCCAACTCAACGAAAAAAAAGAGAACAACTACAAGAACATGTGCTTACACATTTGGTTAATTAGGGTTAGCAAATACCCTTCAATTAACCATTTTTATAAGCACCACTACTACCCTAGCAGGTCCCCACCAACTTTGCTTTGCTTTCACACCCGCCAATTCCAACATTCATGGTTCAACAAAACCACACCCTCACTAACTTTACTATTCTTTTTCGCACCAAAGTGGAGAAATTTTGTAGACTAAATTATTTGATAAAGTTTTTTTTTTTTTTATTCAATCTTGCAATATCGTGTCATTAAATGAAGATTGAACTCATTACACATTTCTGAGATCAATAGTTTATTCTACGAACATTAACAAATAATTATCAAACAATACCGAAGACTTAATTAAAAAAATATAAATTCGACGATCCAATTAAAAAACATGATTAAATTATCAAACAATTCATAAACTTACAAAGTTTAACTGGTTTGATACCCACTCACAATCTTATTTGAGTGAAATACAATTATTAAGATTATACAAAACTTTATTCTTAAACATCTAATACAATTGTTCTAATTAAAAAATATTGATTAAACTAAAATAATATTATATTAATTTGATACTTGTCGTTTACCATATTATTAAAAAAAAATCGTATGAGAAAAGGAAAACATATTTGCAAATTATTCAGTCTAATACAAAACATTAATGTTTTATATTATTGTACTCGAGCTTTATAGATAGAAAATAAAAACATGACTAAAGTTATATATATGAAAATGGTTAAAAAAAAGTTCTCAAAAAATATATGTTTGTATTTATTACAATTTTATAATTAATTTTTAATTTTGATTCATGTTTGAGATATTATCCTTGATTTTATCTTTAAAATACATCTTAATAAATTAAAAAAATAATATATTTAAATTATTATTGATCTTTGACTCTTAAATAATATGAGATTAAAAAGAATAATATATTTAAATTACTTTTATTTCCAATTTTAAATAATGTGGGACTTATAAGTATTTAATAATATATATTATCATACATAATCATTTTAGTTTTTAATTCTTATTGTTTTAAACCGTTACAGGAAAATTAACTGCACTCATTTCACATGACTTGTTGTTACCCAGATGGTGAAGTTAATTAATGTACGTTTTTATACCATGCTATGCATGCACTTATCGTGGCACAAACAACTTTGAATTATTCAACTTTAGATGTCAGAATAGAAATTTAGCACTACACAAATTCTTATCGTGGAAGTAAGAACAACGTCATGTACTTCCACCCTCCCGACACAAGTCACAGTTAATTACATGCAACCACCATTTTTTAAACCACAAAATTTCATAAGTGGTCTTTAGAACCAGAAATTATACGAGAGGGAACCTTGTAAATATATGCACATTTTACTGATATATTTCATACAATGCTCGAAGGACAATGCATTAATAAAAAGAAAGAAAATTTTCCCAATTTTGTTTTAGACAAAAACCATGACTATGGGTGTACTTTTATAATGAGAATATCAAACTATTCTTGCTTCAACACTACCCTATTCCTTTATAGCCATATGGACCCAAAAAATAGTAATTAAATATTGTAGACATCTAGGGCATTTCTATTGTTTTATTTCCTTTAACCAAATGAGGGTGTTGTTTAAAGTGTTCTTACGCTAAACATTAAATAAACAAAAAAAAAATAATTCTTACGTAAAGAAAATAGAGGTGTGAGGTTGATGCTTTTGATTTTCTAATGTTTGTTTTAAAGCCGAAACTAGAAGAATATTTTATAGAACTATTTTATATGGGTCTAGGCTTCTTAAGGAACATGTCTTGGCATAGTTATTTATCTCACTCTAACCTAATTATTCATTGTTAACCCTTTTCGTGATACAAGTTGCCACCTACACGATAAGAAACTTCATCACGAAACCTTGAATGAATGAACGTAGAGGATTTTATAATATGGAAGATAAGATTAATTAGAAAAGCAACTAATGAAGATTGTACGCATTCCACTACGACAAAAAGCAAGTTTAAAATTATTATGTTATTACTATATATCTAATAAAATTTTAGTTTACAATTTTATCCTATTCAAAACAAAAATTCCCACAAATTATCTTCACTATATATAACGTGCCAATTGGTTGTTTTCCTTAAACAATCAACTACCTTTCCAGAACATTATTTAAACATGTTATAGTGTAATAAATATTATTTATACCTAAAGAAACACAAATGTATATTTAAAATTAAGATATTGAAAAAAAAAATAATTTAAACATGCCTTATAAAAAAAATGCATTTTATACTTAAAATTAATGGTATAGTATAGCAAATAAAAAGAAAAGGTAATATTTATTTACTGTCAATAATAAATTTCTTTAGAAATTATACCTATAATCTTTTGTGACGTAACAAGACCTCATTATTAATGTTTTGGTCAACCTTATTAGTTTAAAGTAGTTTTTTCATTTATGTCAAGATGTTGCCACTGTAATTAAAATACTCTTTACTTTCATGGTCCACTAGAAAATCACAATCTTTGTGTGTTATCTTTCTCTATTGTATTTTAACCAACATTAACCTTCCATATATAATTTAAAAAAAAAATAAAGTCTATGATGATTATTCTTGTCTTATAGAAGACTATAATGGTTATATATACCTATAATTTCTGTGACAAATTAAATTAGGTTTAAAAATACTACCTTAGTAATAAGTTTAAAAAAATGAAAACAGTTTAAACATTTAAATAAAAACTAAACTAAACTATAGAATAGTTTTATAAAATAAAATAAAATTATTTAATTAAATAATTTATTTAAACTAAATTATATTACAAATTTAATTAACTATTTCTATATTTAAATTATATTGAAGTATTGTAGCGCTGATAAATTTTTTCAACTAAAAGTAAACTAAACAATAAAACTTCAATACTCATATAATTTTCTTCTTAAAAACGTTATTATAGTTATTAAACTATATATATATATATATATATATATATATATATATATATATATATATATTGAACTGAAACAAAACATAAAATTAATAATTCAATCAAAATATTTTTTTCTTTAACCAAAATAAATGTTGAAAAAAAAGTAAAAAGTGATGAAGATAAAAAATTTACATAACCAAAAGAATTAAAATAATAATTTGTCTAAACTAAACTAAATTGAAATTAGTCCAAACACGTTGAATGAACTACATGAATATTTTATTCTAATGAATTATAGTATACATTTTTATAATAAATAATAATATAAGTATGTGCACCAAATTTTGTCTGGACAACTAAAATAAAATTATAAAAATATGATTATGAAAATAATAATAATAAAAAATAACTTATAACAAAAAAAATATTATAGTTATTTTTTTAATTATTAAATATTTTATTTATTTTAATTTTTTTATTATTGAAACATCCTTGATTACACTATTTTTATTATTTTTCCCCTTAAAACACCTTTAATTATATGTTCCTTTTAAAAAAAAAAATATCTCGTCTTAAATTATAAATAAAACACCATTTTATAAATTTTGATAGTAAAATAATAATAATAATAATAATTTTCACCTTACAACTATACAACTAATTTTGCGTTACGTTTTATTATGTAACTAGGACATAATAACTTGTGCCTGAAATATGCAAACATATAATTTTTTATTGTTTTATTAGATAATGAAGGTTTAAAATTGTTACAAAGTTTCTTTTAAAACATTATTTCTAAACCTAGTTTTAAATAATTTAAAATAATCACAAACCATATTTAAACAGTATTAGAAAAACGTTGTTAGTTAATGAGCATAATTTTTAACTATAACAGTTTTAAGGATAAAAATAGGTTATTTTAAATTAAAAACTAAAAATTAAATTCATACGGGTTGAATCAAAGATAAGTGATCATACACATATTAGTGCTGTGGTGTAATGTCAGCATGTATCATTTATAAAAATTCTTCATATTTGTAAATTATATTTATTTATTTATTTATCTAAACTCATTAATTTATACTGATTTCAAATAAAATAAAGTTTTGTGTCATTTTCTTAATCAGAGCAACTATTGTGTGATAATTCTTAATTATATGATTATAGTTTTATGTCATATTATTCTTAATTACTGCGATTATTGATTGTGGGAGAATCCTTAACTATGTGAGCCAACATGTATGAAACATTAGATACACTAGTTTTATTTAATCCAAAAATAAAATAAAAATCTAAACATTTTTGAGAAAAAAATATATGAATTTAAAAAAATAAAAATACATTTATATTTTAGTTAAATTGTGATCAATCTCATATTTTAAAAAACTACTATCATTCAATGGAGATATGAATTAGTATAAATATATGGCTAATAAGATTTTTAGGCTAAAATAGATACTTATTTCTGGTTAATTAAGATTTTATTTAAAAGAAACCAATATCATTTATTAACATTTTTTTAATAGATTCGAAAATGACAAAAACATAAATTTATCATTTAGAATATGTAATTGTAATTAACAAAGTACATTAGAATTTAATTATTATATTATTACATGAATATAACGAAAAATAAATATATATATATATATATATATATATATATATATATATATATATAGAATATTTGGACCCCTATATCTTCTTATATTAAACTGAATATTAATAATATGGTTAAACATGTAATAGGAATATGTGATTTTTGAAGAATAGATCTTAGTTTTTTAGAATATTTAGCATATTAATGTTTTTTGAATCAAAATAATTTACTTAATTTAGAATGATTTTTAATATATCAGTGGCAACAGAGATAAAATCAAACTTATTTTTAAAAAATAACACTTCTACTTATTATAATAAAATATTAGAGGTAATAAACATTTGACGAGTCTTTACACGAGGTTAGGTCACTTTTTTTTTTCAACTTATTCATAGTGAACTAATTTATATATATATATATATATATTTTTTTTTAATTTTATTAGAAAAAATAATTTAGTTATTTTAATTATAATAAAACCTTTTATAAATAAATAACTAATTTAAAAATCGTAAATCAAAGTGACCACTAGTCCACTTACTAAGGGGGTCTCTTTACTCAATTTTAACACAGCACACGGAAGTGCACCACCACACACTGTAATTGAGCGCGATTCGATCAATTTTCACACCCACCACTTCCAAAGGTAAGTTCCCACTCCTACCAAATCAAAAGATTTTTTATTAGTTTTTTAAAAAAATTGTTTCATGTTCACCGTTGCCTTGGTACAGCTGTTCATGATCCCTCTCTTTCCCCTTTGAAATCCCTTCCCAGTTCTGCTCCAACTGAAACAACAAGATCGAACTCCGCCACAGCCGTCACCAATTGGTTGTTGTCGAAGACAACCCTCGCAAGTCAGAGACCGGAGTTTGATTCCGAAACGGCCACAGTATGAGTGTCATCGACATCCTTACCAGAGTCGATTCCATTTGCAAGAAGTACGACAAATACGACGTCGAGAAGCACCGTGAGTCCAATGTCTCCGGCGAAGATGCCTTTGCCAGACTCTACGCCTCCGTCGACGCCGACATCGAGGCCTTGCTTCAGGTACGCCCGCGCCGAAATTCGCGTGACTCAATTTGTTCCCCAATTGGTGAATTTTTCTACAGAATCACGGAATTAGGGGTTTCTCTGACGGTGCTGGAGGCACTAATTCATTTTTTTTTTTAATTTTTGCGTAGAAAGCAGAAACGGCTTCGAAGGAGAAAGGTAAGGCATCTGCTGTAGCGATCAATGCGGAGATTCGTCGTACTAAGGCTCGGTTGCTGGAGGAGGTTCCCAAGTTGCAGCGACTGGCTGTGAAAAAGGTTTTATTCTATTGTTAGAGTTATTATTAGGCTGTGAAAATGATTATTGAAATTTGTAGGTGTTTTTATTGTGAATTTTCATAATCTTGTTGTTGGACCCTAGAGCATTTGCGTTGAAATGAAGTGTAATTTGATTTGCTGAATTAATCTAACTAACAGCATGTTAGCGTTTAGGATTCTTTGTTTGAACTAATTGAAGAACACTTTTATAAAATTTGAACGCTGATAAAGAGTTAAAAAGTAAATTTAACCTTTTTATTGTATTGTACTGGTTTTACTAGTGTAACTATCCAGTTTCAAACGGGATTCAGGGAATTCTTGTTGTTGTTCTGAGTATTTCAACCCGATAATACTAACGAATTTAGTCCATTTGGTGTATGTGTTTTCTCTTCAGTTTGATGATGTAACATCATAGCATACTCAATTTCGAAATGAATGACAGTACATTTATCTGATCCATGATTCAATGTATCCACAGGTCAAGGGGCTTTCTTCCCAAGAATTTGCTGCCCGTAATGATTTGGCTCTTGCTCTACCAGATAGAATCCAAGCTATCCCTGATGGGTCTCCTGCCGTGCCAAAACAAACTGGAGGCTGGGCAGCTTCTGCCTCACGTCCTGAAATTAAGTTTGATTCAGGTAATTAAGTTATCCGTGTTTCAGTTTGGTGCAGTTATCATATTTCGTATGTGGGAGCCTTTTAATTGACTGACTCTTCTGGTGATGTGTGTGAATCATGGAATCATCTCAAATACAGATGGGCAATTTGATGATGACTATTTCCAACCATCTGAGCAATCGAGCCAATTTAGGCAGGAGTATGAAATGCGTAGAATTAAACAGGCAAGTACCTTATACTAGTTGAGAGGTTTACTGTTGTCTTTTAGCTTTAGGTTGATTACTGGATGCCACACCAAGAATGCTTCAACTTTCAAGTCTAACTACATGTAATTTTTTAGGATCAAGGGTTGGATGTGATTGCTGAAGGATTGGATACATTGAAAAACATGGCCCATGATATGAATGAGGTCAGTTGCTTTATTGTTTTTTGTTAGATTATAAATTCAATCTCTATATCTGACATTGTTTTAGTCCCTGCCTGAAAAATTGTTTAAAAATTAGTTCCTATTCTGTACCATTTATTAAAGTTATATTGGTGTTAGAGTTTTTTTTTTTTTTTTTTTTTTTTTTTTTTCATATAGGAGCCAAAACAAAAAAAATGTGTAGTGTAGGAACCCAATATATTTTGTATTTAATGTAAGGACCAAAGTGAAGCTTAAAATTGTTTGACATAGGGACTAAAACAAAAAAAAAGTCAAGCATAGGGACCAAATCTACTACTATTATAACTTTGGCAAATGGCAAGGATCAATTTATAAACATTATTTCGTGTAAAGACTAAAAAGAGTTCTTTTATATAGGGACTAAAACCAGAAAATGATGTCAGGTGTAGGGACCAACTTAATTGTCTTTTTATGTTCTCTTGTGTGTTTGCGTTATTATACTTTTTAAGCTAATTATTTATGTGTTAAATACAGGAAATGGATAGACAAGTTCCGCTGATGGATGAGATTGACTCTAAGGTGAGAATTATCAATTTCTGCTTGTACCCTAAATATACACTTGGAAACGTTGACTTTTAGAACTTGAATTATGAAGTTGAAATTAATATGACTCGTTTGTTTGTCATCATTACAGGTGGACAAGGCATCCTCTGACCTTAAGAATACAAATGTTAGGCTCAAAGATACAGTGAACCAGGTTATCTAACTACAGTTCTATCTGTATAGATTTCTATCAATTTCTAGTTGTATATGTGGTAGATTTTTGCTGATTCATAATATGATTTTTTTTTTCCATCCAGCTTCGGTCCAGTCGAAACTTCTGTATTGATATTATTTTGTTGATTATAATTTTGGGAATTGCTGCCTACTTATACAAGTAAGGCCCCTATCTCTTTTTCATGAACTTGAAAACACTCAGCACTTATCTTCTGCTTTTAGTTATTCTTTATAGGCCTGCTCAATTTGCTTATTGATTTGAATACTGGAAATTTTGGTGTATGTACTAACCTGGTCTTGTTGGGGAAATTTGAACTACATTTTTAATTTTGTTCCTCAGATTGAAGATTTAAAATATTTCATATGCTGGCCTTAATTAAGCTACATTTTAAGTCTGAAATTGGGCTTGTGTTTGTTAGTAAAGCATTTGACTTATATTTCTGGTATGCATATGTAGCCTTTGCTGGAAAACATAATCTTGTTTTGTTCCCTCTGTAGCCCATATTGCATATGCCTTTACATGGTTTTGGAAATATAATACCATCATCTCTTTTGGGATTGATGTTTCCTTTATTGACTATTTACAAGAATCAGAATATCCTTCACTAACACTGAACTGCTGAAACCTGATATAAATAGGGCAAGTTTAGGTGAGGTGAGTAAGGAATTCATTTGAAATTAGACGAGAATATGATTTTCTTGTAAAACTTAAACTTTTTCTTAAATGCTAATTTTCAAACTACACTAGTCAAATGAATTTATTGGAAATTTGCAATGACATTATAATGTAAAATAAAGTTTAATAAACTCTGCAGAGATGATAGTCATGTTATGGAACGGATTTATTATAATGATTTGTTAGGATTGGGAAACTCTGGTTAATTTGAAAATTATAAATAAAGTATGTGTATCCTCTCCTGTTCATGATCAATAGAAGTCCAATTTAATAAATTTTAACTTTTTATGAACAGGAGAAGTCCTGTTTAATAAATGTTAACTGTATATTATCCCACTAATATAGGCACTCATGCTATCCATTCTATATTTGGTTTTAATTAGCTTTTATTTAACAGTTAGTTTTCATAATAAACCTAATAAATGGTTAGGATGTATTAAACAAGACTTCTCCTGTAAAGTTTAAGCAACATAAAATCCAAATCCATAAATAAAAAATACTGTATAGACCAAATTTCTAAAGCAATAGTGTTGAAATGAATTATGCTCTATCTAAAAGTTTTAATATTTTTTTATCTATTTGCTTATTATTAACTGAATATAGTAGCTCCTTGTCACTCTCTGATGGCGTTACTGGGATTTTTAATATATCAGAGCATGTGTTTTAGGATGGTGTTTGTTTACAAGTCTTGCATGCTTTATCTGTTTCTTGATATACCTTTCTTCCTTTCCACTTCCCGATGGCATTCCTGCCATTTTTAATATCATAGCATGTGTTTTATGGTGGGTTTACTTATCTTGCATGCTTTATTTCCTTGTCTCTGGGATTACTGATTTTTAATTTCCAAGTATGTTTGAGGGTTATGTTCACTAGTTTGCATGCTTTATCTGTTTCATGAGATACCTGTCTGACTTGCCGTGTTCATTTTGCAGCGTACTAAAGAAATGATACGTACAATGACTTGCCGTGTTCGAAGATTTGCCTTTACATGTATTTTGAGAACATCGTTTCGTTTCATTTTTTTTTTTTAATTTTAATCCTATCATTGTGAAAATTTCCTGCTTCTTCAGAGATGTGCGCTCGTGCTTTATAACTAGTCCTGTGTATACAGTCATATCACATAATTAGTATCTTTAAGTTTCTGCTTATTTTGTATTACTTGTATTGGTATATTAAACTATTATACCCTGTTGGTTAAAACAGGGAGGTGCAAAAATGTGAAGGAAGTAGTTCTTGAATATATTTTCCGGAATAAAAATCATGTGAATGAGCACACTAAAATAATAATAAAAATATTTGTGGAGCATGCAGTCTGAAATAATTCTAGTCGTGACGGAATAAGTGTTATGCAATTATGGGTTGGCCTTTACAGCTATCTTAAATTGAAATGCATTCTTTATTTCAGAATGGATAGTCCGCGATTGGTTTTTTATTTATTTAAAACTGTTATTTGTACACACATTATCATTATCGAATGATTTTCTGGAATTGTTTAGAAACCGTTTTCGAAAATTTTGAAATGAATATTACGTAAAAATTAGTTCCAAATTATCTATTCTGGAATACGAGAGAATTATGAACTAGATTATATGTAAAAGAAATAAGTTATATTTAACAGGTTAAGTCATTTTAAATGTTAAAAAATTGTTTCATATACTATACAATGCTCTAGGGTCTTTTTATTCCTTTATGGAATGTTTCTTATGGATAACTTTTATTCTGAAGTGTGCATTCCAACACTACTAATGTAAGTAGTGGTTGGGTTTTACTTGCAAGCCTGCAGGATGGAGATTCAAAAACCAGTGGCAAAACATTATGTGATGTGATTAAGATTAATTAAGTTGATATTTGGGAGGAAATTCATTTCACAGGTATAGGTATAGAATGTTTTGTTTTGGTCTTTGTCACTTGCACCCTGTTTACTAATTAATCCATCACTTTTTCAGAATCACCACTCCTCATTATCCTCTCCTTTGGAGATCGCCATCCCAATTATGCTTCGTTTTTTCTCCTTTTTAATGTCGTTTTGAGAATTGTATATAACGGAAACACGTTTAGCTGTGGATATATCTCAAATATATTTATTTAAAAACATTTACAAAAATGGTAACAGGTGTTTTCTTTTAATCATTTTTCAATACCAAAGGAAACTAAGGTTCATTAATCAACGGAAATATGTTTTTGTTTAGTTTATTTTTGTAAATTTATAAAAGCTAGGAATTATACTTAGGAAATGGGAGTGCGAATAACAACTCCTCATTGACTCCAACACCAAAGTCTGGCCTGTAGCCCAAATCTAATCGGTAGACCTTCATCTCAACTTTAAAGCTACTTACAAAATATAAAAGGCCTCCATGTTGCGCCTTCCCATAGGCCCAAGACCGACTATTTTCCTATTAAAGTAATCGACTAACCACAAAACTAGTCTACAAGAAAGACTGATTATGCCAATAATTGGTCAATATAATATGAAAATTATTTTATAAGAATCATTTTAGTTTTTAAAATAATAATAAAAAACCTAAAATTAAAACGTGTCACTTTCTTCTCTTTTTTTTTCACTTGAATTAAAATCTTCATTTTATTAACAAAGATTGATATATAATCTTGAAATTTAGATTTAAATATCATAAAATTATATTTTATTTTTAGTTTATATTCGTTCTAATTAATTTATATCTTAATTTATTATTATTATTTTATTTATTTTTATTAACACTAGTTCAATATTCAACGATGACAAGAGTACTACTAATCAACTTGTAGTATAATGATTTTTTTTAAGTGAAAGTGTGGATCCCATGATGAATGAATTCAATTAAAACAAATAATTTATCTCAATCAACATATATACAAGGATATTTATTTGATTAATGATTGATAGTAATGATTTATACTAAATTTGCATGAAAATAATATAATAATAGTAGATTGATTAGAAAATATTCAAAGAGAGAAGTTGAGATTGAATTTCATCTATCTCACTCTTCTGTAATATGGATGAATATAAACATATAGTATCTAAATTTACCAATATTGATGCAACACACAATAATCACTTATACTAATTCTTCACTTATAAAATTCATAAGACCGGTTTCTTAGATATTGATTCCTCACATATCCAACAAACTGTCCAACATTCTTTTCAAATGTTAAAAGCAATTAATATACTGAAATTTATTCCTAATATCACAATACATCAAATATTTTTGTTCAGATCAGATTTTCATAAATACTTTTCAGTCACGTCTAAAAATCACGTTCACGAATCTATTGATAAAATAAAATCAAACATTAAGAGTAGAACAAAAATACCAATATTGAATAGAAATATAAAAGCTATATATAACTATCACTAGATTTCATTCAAGTTCGAATCGATTACATTCAATCCCAAAAGAAAAGATTAGTCAATCATGGAAGTCATTGACATCCTAAGAGAAGAAGAAACACCCTAAAACTAAAACTGGAGAAGAACTTTTCCTAATATTCTCAAAAGCGACGTACCCTACTTTTTTGTCTAAACCACAAAGTATATATACTGCGCTAGTTCTTGCATAAGCCAAATTATTCTCGCATAAGCGATAATGATTTCTAAATTGATTGCTCTCTAGACGAATCTTGCTTAGACGATATCATTCTAACTTGAATGAGTTGTGGTAGAATTTTATGTCTTTTTCCTCTGTATCTTCCTTTCTTTTTTTAAGTCTCTTTATCCTTGTATCTTAATTTACCTAAAACATATATAAAATAAGGATCAAATCATTTTTTTTTATTAAAAACTAGGAAACATATCATTATATTTCATCATTCTTGAATTAGAGAAAATTGATACTAAATATATATAAGTTGAAACAACGGTACCATCATTTTATACGAAAATTTCCTACATTTTTTGCACTTATGAAACCGCAATTAAATTCTTATCGATTGAATTTAGAATGCAATTTAAAAAATAGTGATAAAAATAGGTAGATGTTGGGTTCTGCTAGGGGAACTGTCTAATTGGTGTGTCATCTTCCTACTCTATGTCAATGGAGAAGGCTTGAAGGCTTCTGTAGCAAGATAGACTGATATTCCCAATAAACTTGCAGTATACAGAAAGAGAAGTTGAGTGTAGAAGTTTTGTTTTAGTAGCAATTCATAAGTATTCCCAGCTTCCTAGTTTAAACTGCACCATGCATTTTAGTCTCAAGCTTTTTGACCACGTAGTCTCAAGTTCCAAAAACATTGTTTTTATTAATGTTCCCCACAACAAGGATGCTACAGTACTTGTATTCCCAAATCTTTCACCTCGTTTACAAAATACCAGTACATCTACAGTTCAGTCATCGTATTCTATTCTTCTTCGATTTCAAATTCAAATAAGATTGTGGTGCTCTGGTTTTGAAACACGTTTTTGTATAAATAACTTTTTAAACTTTAAGAAAATTTTGTCTAAGAAACTCTAGTTCAAATGCTCATTCTACTTTACCCTAAACAAATAGTTTTAGTATCTGTAACAGTGACATAACTCGGTGTACCTTTTATGTAAAGGAGATGGTGAGCTCAGAGGGTGGAATATAATCCAGGCTAAGG